TCTCTCTCTCTCTCTCTCTCTCTCTCTCTCTCTGTGTGTGTGTGACAATACTTCAGTGGAAGTTAGTATTTGGAATACCAGAGGCAAATAGGTTTTGGTAATGACATCCCAGGAAAAAGTTTTTCACTGGTTTTGTAACCTTTACGACAAGAGGAAAAATTTTGATTAAATGTTTCTTAACAGGTCTCTTTTCATTGTCATGTGATCAATTCCCTCAAATGATTTTTTTTAATAAGTATTGAATTTGGTCTTGTAGAATTTTTCTGGATGAATCCTTGTGGGAAAAGCCAAGAAGCTTAGACTTCTTTCTCTGAATATAATGACACCACTGTATTTTTGGTATGAAAAGGGTTTTGCCACAGTTGCCAAAAATCTACTGTTTTGCCATCAGTGTATAGTGGCTATACAGTGACGGACAGCTTCTGCAGTTTTCTAGGATTGCTGCATTTCAACTTAAAGCAGGGCTTAACTTGAAATGTACTTAGAGTTGCTTTTGGATGTAGCAAAAAAGAAAAAAAAATATCGTTCTTCCTTTCAGCTGACAGCCAGTCAACAACACCCACTACGTAAGGTACTGATTTTATTTTAAAATATATTGAGTATATTGAACACTTCTAAGAAGCATTGTAGAAGTCCAAACTGATTTATAAAATTTTCCTCATAGTTTGATTTCAAAGTAGAGCTTATATGCATGCTAGCCTTCCTAATATGTAGAACAGTTTTTTGTTTGTGTAAAACCCAATGGCTAAATTGGAATAATTTCACTTATTTTTCACATGAAAACGGAGTGCACAAAAATAATTTCCAATAAACTGGAATTACTTCAATGCTTCCATCAATTTAAAACTATTTTGGGAAAAAGGTATGATGATGTTTTTGATATTCCATTTATGATAAGATTTGAAATAAAAGAAATGCTTTCACATGAATTTTTGTATACTATAGACATGTTTCTCCAGATACTGATGTAACATATATTTTGAAAATTGACAAATTTTCAAAAATTGGTAGAAAAGTGTTCGTTGCTAAGGATCTCATGCATATAACTCCATGTTGACATCACAAACATGAGGAAATTTTTATGAATCAGATTCTACTTTTTGAATGCTTCTTAGAAGTGTCCAATGTGCCTAAAACATTATAAAATAAAATAGTTTCAAAATAAATTGGCAAAGCAAAAATGAATGATTAAGAAAGACTGATTAAAAATTCCCCCATCTATTGGTTTGAGGTAGAAAGATTATACAGACAAATATGCTTCTTCTTAACTGCATGATCCTTCGACCTTAGAGTCAGTCTACCTAAGGAGAGACCTATCTTCAGAGGAGTCTTTACAACCTTTAGACTGGCAGCATCCTGTAAATTTCCCCCGAAATTTCAGGTCCAACTAAATAAAGTAATGTGAAAGAAAACACTTAGGCACTCTGTGCTCCAAATCACAAGACTAGGGGTAGGAGATCTTGGATAATTAGAACTCATTGGTGACTGTACACAGAGATCAAGTTTGCTAGAAATGGCACTTTACTGTTTGCTTCAGTTCACAGGCACAGTTTAGAATCAAGTTTTCTTTTTTTTTAAAGTTTGCTTGTTGTGATAATTGATTTAAGAGTGTGTTTTGTGCTCACCTTTGATGATGTCAAATGAAATGCAGCAGCTCGGAAGGAATGCGAACCGAAATGTCGGCTGCATGGGTGTGGCAGCCTTGTAGCTTAAACCAGTTTGTTTACCAGTGAGCACTCGGATGTCTCTTTCCTGAAACATGGGCCTGGCTACAGAAAATACACAAATTCTCTGTGATCTAGATAAACTATCCAGTTAAAAGTCTGGGAACCTCAAGGATTTTATTTACCTAAAATTTCCAAGTCACTAATGTCACTTCTTCAGTTTGTACATCTCATCATAAATATTTTGAGGTCCAAAATAGACATTTAGGATGATGATATTGCACAATGTCTCCTATTTTTGAAAGTCCAGCTTTAGATAATGTTATTCTCTATTTTGCTAGCTAATATAAAGTTTGCAAATAAAATTCCTGAAAATATTGAAAAATCAGTAAATTTAAAGTTCCCATGAGAAAAATTTTGCTGACAAATTATCTTACTTAATGTAATAAAGTTGACGTATAATAAATAGCTTTCTCTTTATAAATAGTGAAATATTGAGTAGTGAAATAGTGAAAATTGATTAGATATCTTTCTACTCATATTTACTTTACAAGTATTCAACATCTGTATAGTAGTTTAAAATTTATTCTAGATAGATAGAGTCAGTTTTGTGGCAGAAACGCACATAGGACTTCAATTGCTAAGATGAAAACAATTTAACTGGCTACTTTTGGTCTCTTCTGATACATGAAATTATCTTCTTGTTACCTCCTAAATACTTTACCTTTTTACAGAGATTTCTCTAAGTTGGGAAGCCTTTGATCCATTCTGCTTCTATCCTGAAATAAAACATTACCTTTGGAGGTAAAACAAATTAATCACTCGTCGCTGTGTTTCTTGAATCAAAAATTATTAAAATCTACACAATGTTAAAAAAATTTACTTGAAGCTTTAAAGCCTGCTCAAGAGAAACCCAACCCTTTTGCTGTTTAAATTCCCAAGCTTTGATTAAATTCAACAACACAGCATGCAGCAACATTCAAGTCATGTGATGGAAATTCTTGATAATTGTTCACCTTCTACCCTTCCCATCTATACACGATCTCTGCCACTCTCTTTGAAAAACTAAACTCGAACACCCAACTTCGCAAGAAAGACTTGAATGGCAGCCTGAACACTGAATAAAAAAGTAGCAATGTCTGAAAAATAAAAACAGAAACCTCTAAAATAATGTTTTATTTATCACATACAAACGTGTTTTCCTAAGAATTATTTCCAGTGTGGGCCACCATATGGAAGCAGGAAGCCATAACTGGAATGGACTAAGATGGTTTGTATCAGCTGCATAACTTGTTTTGTTCTATGCCTCCAGGCTTCAAAACCCGCTTCCCATATTTTTTTCCTTTCTTTAAAAAATAATGTACATCAGTTTAATTTATCCCAGGTCCTGACAGGAGGATCAGATTTTAAGCATTTAATGCTGCGGTTTCAAATCCAATTTCTCAGTGTTCATCGTTTCAAAAGTGGCAGAATTCAGGTTTTGAAAAGATTTAAGAGCCCGGCCAGGACTGGCCCCCTTTCTGAAGTTCCACATTAACGTTCAGAAAGGCACAGCTTGGGCTGAGTTTCTCTATAGTGCTTCAGGAAATACCCAAGCCTCAGACTCTCCAACAAGTACCTCCTCTTACTGGTGTCAACCTCGGGAGGGATACTGTTTAAACTCAAAAGACATATTGAATAAATCATCCATTTACAGGTTTTCTGAACTAGGCCACCGATTGGTTGGTGCCTTTTCTGAAAAGGAGGGTATCAATAGATCTGCTTAAGGCTTGATTCCACTGAGTGTGCTCTGACACAGCTTTGCCTGTGACCGGTGGAATTTTCATCCACTCAGACACTGAAGCCTAGGTCTCCACACAGTCAATTCATTGTAGGCTCTCTTTATTACTGGTGGGGGGAACCTCGAAAGGTCAGGAGTCCAGATTGCTTCAAATAAACATCCAGAATCTCACATGCCTTTTTGAAATGGACCCAAGTTTATTTGAACCTCCTTCCCTGGTTTGGAAGTCAGGCTGCAAATTTCACAGAAAACAGATTTTTCTTAGGAGATCTCAGAATGTTGTGGTTTAAGTAAAGTAATAAACAAACTTGAAAAATGAAAGGCAAAATTGGCCCAAACTCACCTGGTTTCATTCTGTTAAATGCCTGAAACTGAGTGGCATTGTGCAAACATTTTTTTTTTTGAAAAAAAAAAGGGGAAGAAGAAAGAAGGTAAACAGCCCTTTCTGTGGCTTAGCCTAGAATTCCAGATTTAAGACAACATTTTGCCACTTTGTCCTCTGTTTTCGTGTGTCCTGTGATGGTAATCGTTTTTGCCATACAGCTCACCTTATTTTCAGTTTCGAAGATCTCTGTATTCATAGTCCATTTTCAATTGCTAGTAAAGCGTAAGTCTTGAGCGATTTGAAACGGGATAATTTCTATGTGTTGGTTGGCGTGCGTGGCTTGAGAATGTGGTA